TCTAATCTTGCTAATCAATTTTGATGTGGATGACAACTCCCTAAGAATCTCCATGTTATTGTCTACGGTATATTTTATACTCACTTCGAACTTCAAACTCAACAATGTCATAGTTTACAGGTTGTGCTTTAGATATGATGATAATTTCATGCTTAATTAGTCCAAATTTTGTTGATTAATGTTTAAAATGATGGTTTAATATTAATTACATGACTGTTAAAGAATTAAAAAAAAACAATAATATAATAAGTAATTCTGGTTGGATTGAAAAAAGAAACAACAACCGATGTGATAAAGAATTCACTGTGGGCCTGGTTTGGGTTTGATTGATCAACTAAAATGATGGACCAAACTGGGGGGGAGGGGCCTGACTTGACCCAGTTGCTCGGGGCTAAACTTGTGCCCAAGCTCGGTCATGATAGTTCATTGGGGGCTAAACTTAACGAATTAATCACCTGCAATTAGGCTGATTTGTTAATCAAATTAATTAATTCTGAAAAATTAATCACCGTGCACGTAACTTAAACATATATTAATCACTCTCAGAGCATGCACAAACGTTCAGACACCATAAAATCAACTAACAACCAGCCAAGTTTGAGTCTCCTTTGCTTCTAAATCCCAACTAAAATGGAAACAAACAGTACTTAATGATCCTGTTATGGGTGTATAAATTGAAACAATTTTCTACACATGTTGATCCTCATATATCTCTAATCTCCTTCGATAGTTAGCTTGCATGGAAACAGGCAAGAATATTCAGATACTGTCCTTAACATTTCTGGTGGTGATCTTTCTATTGTTTCCTCGGAGTAGTCATAGCCAGCCAGGGGTACTTCCTCCGGCCGGCCCGCTTTGTTCCTCCCAGTATGTCCTCCTCAACTACGCCTGCTCCAGGCTCCCATTTTCGCCGAGACCACCGTCCCTCAATTCCGCCTCCGTCGAGTCTTCTCCACCTCCTGATGACGAGGAGCAAGAAGACCTTTATTATTCCCATCAGCACAGCGGTGGACACCACCAGACACCAGAACAGCAAGAATGTTGCAGGTGGTTGAGAGAGATGAGTGTTGAGTGTGTCTGTGACTTGTTGATTCACTTGCCCGCTTTTCTCACTCGAGCCTCCCATGATTACACCGTTATTGTTGATGAATCATGTGCCATCACTTTTGCATGTCCTGGCCGATTAATTATACGATCATGATATCATTCATCGTGCCAGCTAAAGCCATGCATCAACCTTAATTTCATTATATACCCAATTATTATCTGTATGTTCATTTACTTTATACACACACACACATATATATATATATGCTAATTAATAATTCATCTTCCCACTATCATCAGCTTATTTCTGTGTCCTAATTAAATTTTTAGTTGTGTTGTTCATCCTCTTCTTTGATTCTATAGTCACTGCAATTTTGTCTTTGGTATTACTTTTTATGTATATTTTGACCCGACTTCAAATCATCTTGGATATTGATGTCTATACATCATAAATAAAATTGTATTTACTTTGCTAGACATATTAAATTTGAAGCAACCATTTCTCCTCTAGCAAAATAGTCTTCCTCCTCAACTTTGAGACTCGCACTAAGCGAAAATACCACATCATCATTGTTGCATGTCAACAACGTGTCATTTTTCCGAAACATGTAAGTTGAATCTTCGTCTTACCCCAAGCCCAAAAGCCCTCACGAATTGGAGAGGAACATCGTGTAAAAACCTGAGCCATCTTGTCATCATACTTTTAAAAGAGTTTTGATTGCCGTAAATGCTTTCAATCGTTAGTAACTCATTCTTATAAGTCTCATAACTTTATGATTAATAACTCTGAGAACTTTTGGCAAAGCATGATGTTTCTGCAGGTTATTATACGAAATTATTACAAGCGTACATTTTCTCTTAATAATTCGCTAGTTTTATGAAATGTAAAACATTATTCTTATTTTCTCAATGACTTTGGAGGGAAGTGATAAATTGATTGACTCGAAGTTAGGGATTATATGGAGTTTATGGTTACATAACCCATAGCCAGTCTCCTCCCCTAGGGACTCCTTGCTTACCTCCCGTAGTAATACGAGGGCTGCCTTCCTCTCTGTCCACCACCAGTATCCCTATGAAAGCCTCTTTTTTCTTTCAAAAACTCATAAACTCAAATGAAATTAGATAATTCGAGAAATGAAACTAGCTTAAAGGGGAGGAAGTGCTTCACGGGTGTGGAGCACGACTTCCACTCTCTTTAAACCTTCAGATATTGATATTATGCACGAGTTTTCGACTCTTTAGCGAGCACGTCTGGCGTACACAAGTGCTCTCTCCTAAATCATCCAAATTGAATTTCTTCAACTTCAAATTCCTCCAATCTCTACATTGTTTCACTTACGGGCCCACTCATAAATTCTCCTATTCGACCATAAATTCAAATTTTAAAAATACTTTTACTTTAATTACTTTTAAACTTATAGTAAAAACTACAATTATTACTAAACACGCTTTTATTTACATTCAATTAATAGAAATTTAAAATAAATATGTTAGCCATGAAATTAAACTTTAAAAATATAACAATATTGAGGTAGATGGAATTTGTCAATAAAATTACTTACAATTCCAATCGAACCCACGAGAGAATATTTTCTAAAAGTCGTTAAAAACACAACAAAAGAAGAATTTAAGAAAAAAAAATAAAAAATAAAAATAAAAATAAAAATAAAAGGAATAATTGAGGTCACAATTTGGTTAATACTAGTCGGTTTCATGTCGCTCCATTCTCATAATTCCTTATCTCCAACACTTTTGTCTGCCTTAAGATGCATATATACATCCAAAAAAAAATGTCTATATATATATATATATATACTGGACCACAACATATATACATATACACATACACATACACACATGCATAGAGTTGAATATGGTATTAAATCATTTCATTACATGCATCGACCATGTTCTAATTAGCTAGCTAGTAGTCATTGACATTATAACAAAACTTAATTTCATTGAAAATAATGGATGCATATGTACATATATGATTCATATGTGTGTGTGTGTGTGTGTATATATTTTTTATAATTCTCCTATAAAATTATGTTCTTGTCATGTCACGGTACTTAATAAAGTAAATAAAATCATTAAAAGGGATGCTTGAACATTAAAATTTTGATAGTTTGAACATTAAAATGGAATGGTAATTTGAGAAAAGGAATAATTCTAATTCAATTTATATTTTATTTCTGCAAAACGCGGGCGGGTCCATTGACATTCCATATTCTTTTGTGTGTATATATGTACATGTGCGTACACCTATACATATATATATGTGTGTATGTATATGTGCGTATGGGATATATCATACTATATATATATATATATTGTTGGAATCGAGTGACTATGAAAAGACAATACTTGTTGCAAATTGTTGTTTGGGCTCTTATTCTTCTCTCTTTCATTCCCATTTACATCAAAACAATATCAGAAAACATAAAATATGAATTAAATAAATAAATTATTAATATTCATATTCTAAATTTTTTTCCTTCAAAAATCTTGAGTTTTTTCAAAGTTGACAAAAAATTTGATCGTCTTATTACAAATTAAATGTCATATTTCAAAATGATACTGTAAACATGAAATACATATATATATATATATATATATATATGCGTGTGTGTGTGTGTGTGTGTGTATGTATTGGTATAGATTCTTTGTTATGGCAATGATATGGCTGCTTTGAGAATGAAAAACAGGTGAGGAGCAGAGAATGGAGGGACACCGTGGATGGGAGAGTGGACACGTGTTAAGGGTTCTAAAGGGTAAAAGCCACATAGATGGGTGACGTTGCTTTTCCGGACACGTGTCTAATAACGATTGGTGAGCTTGTAGGGTGACGTGGCGTGGGTCTTTCTCTGCGTGGACGGGTTTCTACTTTCTATGTTAGTGTAGTTTTGACGGACACGTGTCCAATAACGATTAGTGAGATTATGGTGACGTGGCATGGGTGTTTTTCTGCGGGCACGGGTTTCTACTTTTTGTATGTTAGTGTTGCTTTTCCAACTGTACGGCCACTATCTTCACCACTCTATTTTCTATCCGACGGACAAGATCAACATGGAAAAGCATTATTATATATATATATATATATATGTATATGTATCATACTTAAGTGTGCCCAAGAAAGAAAGAAAAAGAAGAGAAAGAATGATATTTATTAATAATATGAGGATCAGGAAATTAAGGGAGTCTCTCTCACAATTAGTTGTTTTTTTTATTTGTCATTAATAAATACTTATTAATATAAGTATGTG